AGGTTTTGTGCTGAAGAGAAGCTAGTTTAATAGACAAAGCGGAGTTAGCAGTGGAAGATGGCGGCAAGAAAGCCTCTGAGACTGGCAGAGATGACAAACTCTGTAGGAGGACAGGTTCGGAGTTAGAAGTGAGGAGGGGAGGAGGTGGTGGCAATGAAACATTAGGAGGAGGCGGAGTCCGAAGGGTGGCCCGTGGTGGGGCACGGGTGAGGTGCTGGGCGTCGTTAGACGGCGCTGGGTTGGGGGACACATGGAATGATGGTGAGCTGGAGGCAACCTGCAGAGGATTTAAGCTTAAGAGGGTACAGCTGGAAACGGCACCATTGCCAAAATGGAGAGAGGGAGTGGAGGATGAAAAGGAGGAGGTGGAGGGAGAGGGGGTGGAGGAGGAAGAGGAGGAGGCAGAAGGCACCACATGGTTAAAAATACCTGCAAACAGGAGAGAAAAAAACCCTCAGCAGATGGACTTTATACAGCTCACAGCAAGAGAAGCAAAACAAAAGCAGGCAGGCAAGCAATAATGCAGTAATGAAAACAGCAGCAGGCAATGGGCAGTGGCAGTAAAAACAACAACAACAACAACAACCACCTAGCAGGAGAGAGACACACTTACCTCTTCCTTCCTCACATTCTAGAAGCGCCAAGGGGGAACTCCGTGGCTGAACTCAATATCCCAGCACAACCCCCAGTGGAGATCAACACACGGACCTTAAGTAGTCAGAATCGTTTGACAAGCTATCATTCATTCTATCTAGGCCCATCCTCAAGATACATGCAGGATTTGTCTCCTGAAATTCTTAAGGTGCCTTGGTTTAGAGAAAAGCCTAAAATATAACGCTGCAATGGGTTACGAGTCTCTCCTCGTCCTAGCTCAGACATTCTCACAGAATGGATTTAAAGAGGCTCCAGAAACTCAGCTTACATGACAGGGAGTCACAGGGATTCCTCACGAGATAAATCCAGGTGGAAATTTTTTTTTTCCAAAAGAAAGAACGCTCGAAAGCATCAGCCATCAAGGTGAAGGGTATGGAACACCAGGAAGGGGGGTGGAATCTGGGGCTGAATTCTGGATGGAGGGGCTCCTTCCCAAGGGACTAACAAGACAAATCAGCCTTGAGTCCTTGGTATGCAGAAAAGGTCTAGACTCACCCTAAACCTTCATAGCCTTTATCTGACAGTTATGCAGAGTGTGCTTTAGTCTGGCAAGATTCCGGTCTATGGGCGGACAGCAATAAAGAAAGTGCTTTGAACAATTCATCATGTCGTTCTTGCTTCCTTGCACCTGACAGTGTGTTCCTTTCAGCCAATCAAGTTCAGCTTACCTCCAACTGTTCCACCTGTCATCCCGGGAGAGAAGTTCCCCATCGTGTGTGAGTTGGTCAGGCGGGTGGCAGCTGATGATACATGCACTAGGCTGGCGGCTGGCATCGAATTAAATAAGGACTGCAGTACCGAGGAGTTTGTTACCATGGGGCCAAGGGGGAACTGCGCGCCGGTGGCTAAGGAGTTCAAGAAAGGGTGGTGGGTCTGAGAAGAGGGGGCTGTGCTGGACGACTTGCCAGAGCTGGCTGCGGAGAGGCTTTTGCCATTGAGAAGGCCACCAGAGGGGACAGCAGCAGCGGCAGCGGCAGCAGCAGCAGCAATGAACAGGTTGTGGCCGTTCTTGAATTCCACGTCTCGTTCCCGTCCTTTGCCGAATTTGTTGTTTAGCACCGAAGCCTTGTCTGAAGAACCTCCCAGTCGGACGCTCAGTTCATTGGCCTCTTTGCCTTTCAGTCCCGACCAGCTTAAATCTTCCCCTTTCCCACCGCCAAGGCTCTCTAGCTGCCTCTTGCCCAAGAACGGATTTGTCTCGGGGACTCCAGCCTCTTTGCTCCTCTGTACAAGGAAACCCAGGGAGGAGCCCCCTAGAGCCGTCACCACGTCAGCAGATTTGTGAGAAAACGAAGCACCATCAGTAAAGCTATGTAAATTGACATCTGCCGACAGGCCACCGTTGTAAGCAAACCCGTTCATGGCGTTGGCACTTTGGCCCAGCCCATCGGAGGCAGCCATGTGCTTCCTCGCATGCGTGCCAGCCTTGTCGCCCGCCAGGTTGTCATCCGAAGACGGTCTGAAGGCGAAGAGGGTGTTCTGACTCAGGGACGCTGCAGACGCTTGCAAAGGACTGTCTGCCGTTTTGGAAAGGTTGATGTCAGAAATTGGAGAGAAGGTTGACTTCCACTTGCTGCTGTTCATGCTTTCAGCAGCTTGCTTTCTCCCAGCCGAGTTGCTGCCTGGTTTGCAAAGACAGAAAAACGTAGGCGTCAGTTGTGTTTCCCCTTTTTGGCAGAGAGGTAAAACTGAACGAGGAGCCTGTTTTTAAACAGGGTTGGTTTTTTTGATACCAAGGAGAAAATTAGCTAGACTGTCTATCAGAATTCCGCAGCTGGGAACTGCCATACATAAATCGTCCACTGTGCAAGAACTTGTAACGGAAGGAGAGTGACTTCTGCATTCATCACAATTAGAGAACAGCAGCCCATCTTGCTTGGGTCAAAATCCATTTAGTCCAGTACTTCTAAAAATAGTCACCCAGATTCATACCACAAGAGATATACTGTCTTAGAAAAGAGCACAAGTTATCTGATCTCAGCCATCCACTCAGTGATTAAAACTAGGAGGGCCAGGAGGCAACATCACATCTTTTGAAATAGTATTTCGATCACTACCTAAACTTAGACGCTCACCTTTTTTAAAAACAGTGAATTCACACATTTTGGTTTCGGTAACAGCTATGAGACTGTGATGCTTCAGGTGATTCATGTTAATGCTGGTAAAAGATTTGCAGATCTTTTTAGTTTTGTTTTTTTTAACAGAAATCCTACATCTATTTTCTGGAATTGGGTATGTCTAGTTTAATGAGAAGAAGGACTAAGGGAGACATGATAGCAGTCTTCCATTATCTCAGGGGTTGCCACAAAGAAGAGGGAGTCAAGCTATTCTCCAAAGCACCTGAGGGCAGGACAAGAAGCAATGGGTAGAAACTAATCAAGAAGAGAAGCAACCTAGAACTAAAGATATTTTTTTCTGACAGTGAGAATAATCAATCAGTGGAACAACTTGCCTCCAGAAGTTGTGAAAGCCCCAACACTGGAAAT